AGGCAGAAAAACATTGTTGAAGGTTGTTCATATTCTAAAATGATAATATTGTCATTAATCCGTGTTAGATGGAGGAGGGGCTCGGAGGACTCCCCGAAAAGGCTGCACAATGATGTCATCACTTGGAGACCTTGTGTCATTATTTATAAACATGACTTCTTTATGGGACCCTCATTTATGGAACCCTCATTTATGGAACCCTCATTTATGGAACTCTCATTTATGGAACCCTCATTTATGGAACCCTCATTTATGGAACCCTCATTTATGGAACCCTCATTTATGGAACCCTCATTTATGGAGCTGTCATTTATGGAACCCTCATTTATGGGACCCTCATTTATGGAACACTCATTTATGGAACCCTCATTTATGGAACCCTCATTTATGGAACCCTCATTTATGGAACCCTCATTTATGGAACTCTCATTTATGGAACCCTCATTTATGGAACCCTCATTTATGGAACCCTCATTTATGGAACCCTCATTTATGGAACCCTCATTTATAGAATTGTATAAACATGACTTCTTTATGGAACCCTCATTTCTAGAACTGTCATTCATGGAACCCTCATTTATTGAGCGGTCATTTATAGAATTATATAAACATGACTTCTTTATGAAACTCATTTACGGAACTATCAATTTTTAGAACTCATATATGGAACCCACATTGAGAACCCTCATTTATGGGACCCTCATTTATGGAACTCTCATTTATGGAACCCTCATTTATGGAACTCTCATTTATGGAACCCTCATTTATGGAACCCTCATTTATGGAACCCTCATTTATGGAACCCTCATTTATGGAACCCTCATTTATGGAACCCTCATTTATGGAACCCTCATTTATGGAACCCTCATTTATGGAACCCTCATTTATGGAACCCTCATTTATGGAACCCTCATTTATGGAACCCTCATTTATGGAACCCTCATTTATGGAACCCTCATTTATGGAACCCTCATTTATGGAACCCTCATTTATGGAACCCTCATTTATGGAACCCTCATTTATGGAACCCTCATTTATGGAACCCTCATTTATGGAACCCTCATTTATGGAACCCTCATTTATGGAACCCTCATTTATGGAACCCTCATTTATGGAACCCTCATTTATGGAACCCTCATTTATGGAACCCTCATTTATGGAACCCTCATTTATGGAACCCTCATTTATGGAACCCTCATTTATGGAACCCTCATTTATGGAACCCTCATTTATGGAACCCTCATTTATGGAACCCTCATTTATGGAGCTCTCATTTATGGAACCCTCATTTATGGAACCCT